TTTAAGAACATGTCCATTTGCTCTTAAAACACTGTCTGTGCTACATATCACCAAGATGCAATATTAATTCAAATATTTTCCAGCATAATGTAAAGGTTCTAATTATTTGAGGCATTTTATTTGCAGTGTGGTAAATCATTATAATTCATAAACAACTAGGTGTTTGAGAACCACTCTATTTCTGGCTCCCAAGTGGATTCTTCACTTGGTATTTATTAAAACTCTGATTTTTGTACACTAAATACAAATAAAATTTAATTGGGGAGACAGTGGGATGCTAAAGAAATCCTTACTCAGCCAACCAAAAAGAAAGGAAGTCCCAGCCTCACAGCCAACTCCAATACCTCTGTGTCAGCTTTGGACCCAGAAGATCGATACAACCCTTTAAAATACAACAGGTCTCCTATATGAAAATACCCTTTCTCCTTACAATTAGCTGGAGTGATAATCAGGGGAAAACCCCACATACTGCACACTGGAGAGGAGACTGGCTCAGCAGACAGCTGAACTCCTTTCTTCTATAGTTCAGCCCAAATGTTCCTATATATTTAGCCTGTCATTATATAGAGATGCATCACACAGGAGACAACAGGCTGCCAAAGAGAAAGAGAAACTCCATCATAGGTCTATTCAATGGACAAAAAGAAGAAAGGAAATGTAAATGATGCTGTTCAAACACCTCTAGCAAAATGACTACACAGTTAATATGTACACACTCCAGTGTCTTCCTGATCCTCTGCTTAAGTTTGTGCCAATTTTATCCCTGACTTGAAAAGATAAGCATACACCCACCCCCACAGACACATTCCAGATCTTGCGGGATTTGGGCTTTTAATCTCCACAGAACATCCACAATTTGCTAGCTGTTACCTAGAAAACTTATGTTCAAAGCAGGAACATCATCAACAACGTGTCTGATTCAGCGCAAAATATCCCAGCTTCCCCAATTTGAAGGGCTCTTGCTACTTTTGTGCTGTTCAAAACTGGATGGATTCTATGAGTGCGATTTTCAAAACAGAGCTTAGATATTTATCTGCTGTTCATTTTCATAGAAAACCATAGGTCCAAAAGCTAAAGACTACTCTTAAATTCCTCACAAGGTGTATTTGTACAGGGATGGGCAGTTATTTCCCTATTTTATTTGCTCATTAGCTGCTGAGGGATATCAAGTGTACAGAATAGCTGTTTGCCCTCTTGCAACCATGCACCCCTTTCTTCCCAAATTCTAGATCTGTCTACTTTGAAACTCTCTCCCCCAACCAATGAAAGTGGATCTCCTGCAAGGGCCAGGGATTACTACTAGAAACATGTGCACGCTTCCAGGAATTTTACTAAGCCCAGGCATCAAAGCCGTACATAGAACTGAATTGACCCCTTTCTCCTGATGCTGTTTATACTCATTTTTGGTTGTAGAAATTTCTGTTAAAACAACTTCCAATATTCACAGGGCAGGGGGAATCACCAAAAGGAAATGCTAATGTTTCCTAGGAGTCTCTCTGGAAACATATTACAGAGCTTTCATTCTGCTCAAGAATTTCCCCCCAACATGTCAAAAGAGGGCATCAATAGTTAAAGAGCAGAGAATGATGGGAAATAGTTGGTATTCTGCCAACAGCAGTTGCCTAGTACGATGTGTTTTGGATGAATGCACATTTTACCTCAGTTTGTTCCAGGCTCTCTTTAATGCTTCCAGAATTGTGCTTTTTGAAACATGTACTGTACGTGCAGTGTGCATTTCTGCTTTTATACATATACAGTTTCTTGCTACTTGGCTTCTATGCTATGGATTATATTTGTCACATTATGAGTCTTTCAATATATACTAATAGTTTTATGTATTTAACAATCAGTTTTGCTTTTCATTTTATGTATGTGTGTTTTCCCTGCACTGTGTTTTAGACAGATCCTGTGCACATAGGGCTAAACCTAATAACATCATTCACTGCAGCGGCAAGACATTTTCCCCTGGAGTAGGATACAGTGATGATGACATAATGCTGTGGTTTCAAATCCCAAACCAGCTGTTACTAGTATATGCATTCAAATTCACTGCCTCTATGTCCATGTGAGAGGCACAAAAGCTTGTGACTGATTTAATAAATGATTTATTATTTTGAATGTATAATTCAGGGATACAGTTTCCACATGGCTTCAACCAGAAAGCAGACACATAGAATATATGCAGCTTAATGCTCTAATAACACAGGGCAAAACTAGTTCCATGTGCCCAAATACTCTAAGTATTTTCCTCTTGTGCCAAGCAACAAGGGAATTTCATGCTGTTTGCTAATGTTAGCTCTTTTAAAAAAATAAAGGCAATTTTCTTTTTTCTGGCTTTGTATATATACATACACCTACACACACAGAGATATACATATATGCATTTATATATAAAAATAAAAGCATTTGTAACATTTAGAATAACAATGAATAAGCTACCTTGTTTACTGATACTATAGTGAGCTGATATACTCATGTTTTCCAACCTTGAACTCTTGAGACTATTAGCTCAATATATGGAGGTCAAATTTAAAGTCATTTCTCAACAGTAAATCTAAAAAAAGATTACCACAGAAGCAACTTGAGACCTATGAAAGAGCCTTTTCCACTACAGTAAGTTGCTTTGATGGAATACAAAAATCAAGTCTAAAAATCTCTCTCCTATAAATCACAGGTTTGCAAAGCATAATCTGGCTACATCATCAGTTGCAAGATGTATTTTAAATCCTAGCCAAATCAAAAGCAAAAATTCTTCACCTAATTCCTGTTCTCTCTGCACTGTGTCATCATGGCAATTTGTTTCCAGGGTTGAAGTATTTATTTACCCAAAGTAAAGCCAATTTGAACAAACGTCCAAAATATTAATAGACTAAATGCATCCCAAGTGTAATTTCACTGACTTCATGGTTGTTCCATCAGGAGATATATTTAGCCCATCATATTTTGTCATGACACTGTTTAGAAAAGCAATGCCTGCTCTACCCGTAATATATCTACTTGGGAGAACAATAGCGAAACCTGAGGCTTATAATCAATCACTATATGTAGCACTTTTCACACATGCAAAGAGACAGTGTACTAACAGACAAAGTAACAAACCAAGTTGTCCAAAAACATGACTCTCATAAAAACCAACAGAATGGAGGGCCAGGCTTTTCCAAGGATATAAATTAGAGTGCAAAGTAACTCTTTTGTATTTACATTATGAGTTATGGAACCTTCTGGAGCCAGGGTATGAATAATCAAATCATGCATTCACAGTAGGATCAATTTATCAGGTCTCTACAGCTGCTCATATCATATACAGCTGTGGACTCTATGAAAGGTCATTACCAGTTCTGGCACCATAAAACTGTTGGCTTAGAAAGGTTATTGAAAGGTTTGCATTCTGTGAATTGGCTTATAGGTATAGATATATACATTATAAGGGTTCAAGATGGGCAGCAGGGGTTAATTAATTTCTAAAGAGCTTAGATCTCTCAGTCATACAATTTCTCTGGCCCTGGAAGCAGACAGGTTGTCTAACACAACAAGGCCATGGATGAACACACAGCCTGGGAAAGAGGAAGATATGTACCATAGTGCTCCATAACACGAGATAAAGTGACAACAGGAACAAAGCCCGAGAGTGCCCCCCCCACCCCCACCCCATGTCCCACTTTTGGGGGAACAGACCAAATTAGGAGAAGGCCTGGAAGGCTACATGGACATGTGACCACAAAGAGATAACCAACTAGAGATAGCCACAGATGAAGAGTTATCGGGAGTCATCAGGAGGGAAGGAGAATACAAAAGCAGAGACTTGAGAGTAACAAAGGGTCCCTCCCTTTGTCCTGTCCCTCCTCATCGGTTCCTCTCTTTGTCTCGTCCCTCTCTTCCTCCCTGTTCCCTGGGAAGGGTCCCTGAAGCCACCATGGAGGGCACATGACCAGCCCACCTCCTACACCCCACTGGTGGGGGGGTGTGGGCCTCGGCATCCCACCTCCAGATTGCTGACAGCCCTGAGACATCTGACACCTAAGAAAGAGCCTCAGAGTAGAGACTGCGTCCTGGCCAGATGTACTTTGACTCTGATGACAGCCCTAGGATTTGGCAGATATATAGAATTGCTTGATTGTTTGTATTGTTTCTTTTCTGTTATCACTGTGTATCAATACATTTGCCTATTATCTAATGGAAAGGTTGTGGTTGGTCTGAGGGTGGGTCCTGGGTAGGTCCTGCACAGCCAACAATACCCTCCAGCCAACAATAACAAGCAGCTTTTTAAAGCCAAATGGTCATCCTGATATATAAAACCAGGTCAGGAATAGCTCAGTAAATGACAGAGTTGCAGAGAGCTTATGCAGAGGAGTGACCCCCCTGCAGCCCTGGCTGCTCAGTTGCAGTAAATTTGATTATTTATTGTGAAAGAAGGGAAGTGTATGCAGGAAAGATTAGCTTATTTAAAGCTCTCACTTAAGAAAATAACAACAATTCTTAAGTTTGCGTGACAAGCAGAAAGGGACTCTAAGAGCTAACAGCCTCTGAGGCAAGACCTAATGCCACCATGCAACAATCTCTACAGATTCTGGTAGTCTTACTTGATCGACATTAGGCCACCTCTGTTACAGGTGTTTGTAAGTGGCAGATTAATCATGCTGATATGTGGGAAAATGCATGGGGCTGATCCATCAGTGTATTACTGGAGTAAATCACTGGTTTTATTCTGTTTTAAGGCCATTGAAATAACAGAACAATAAAATGGACTAAAGGAGTAGTGAATTATCCTCTAAATATACATCTGATAGGGAACTCTTCATTTCAAAAGACATAAATAATGAAACATTATGGAATTCCACATTATTAAAAAGAGCAATCATGAACTGCCGCTTTGTCATTTTGATTGATCAAACTCAAAACAGGATTGAAAAAAATCAAGCAAAACGACATTATAATTATCACTGTTAGTAGATGAAGAACATATGATGAATAACATTATCATATAAAGTATGTGCTCTCACCAAGGTAGGAAACACCTTCTTCTGGTGTGATTGTTCCATACTTAACCATCATCTTCACAAAATCAATCAGTGTCTTCATGATAGTTATCAGGGTTTCTTTTTCTTTTGCCTCTGTCTCTGCATCAAGGTACAAAACAAATTACATTCATAACTCTTGAGAGATTGTGTCCTATAAACCCTTTGTGTTAAACTCATGTATAAAGTCACAGACCGGTTGTTGGTGGCTTAGTGGAGATGGAAGCTGTTGGTTGTTCCCCTGAGAATGGTACTTTCAAAGGTGCTGTGCTCCTTCACTTTCAGAACCTTTCTATTTGGGTAGGCATTCACCAAACAAAACCAGGATGAGATGTTGTTTAGCAGGTCTCTCTCTCTTGATATTCTACTTCCCCTTTAAACCATTTGGGACCTTTTGTCACTCTCTTCTTTTTAAGTTATTCTGTTTTTATTATTGTAAGCTGACCCAAGTCTTTGTTGGGAAAAGCACCATATAAATCAAATAATAATAAATAGATATTGTGGACATAAGTATTCAGGGAATGTATTCAGGCCTATCTGCTACTGGCTTTACAAACTGTTGAGCCACATAGCTTAGAGGTCTTTCTGAAGAGATACTCACACTTAAAAGATGTCATTATCTCTATATCTTAGCCTTATTCCCTCTTAAGGCCCCAATCTGTTTTTTAATTTAGGTAAGGCTGCATTGTTTTTGTAGCAACGGTGGTCCAGGATATATGAGAAGCAATGTTTTTTAGTGATATCTTTTATTGGACCAACTGTACTGTATAGTTGGGAGAGATGTTAGATGTTAGATGTTTCGGGCACAAAGTACCTGATATCACCAAAACACCCTTACTTTTAACTGAGGGCTCAACAGACACACCTCCCCAACACTCAACTTGGAAGGATGAGGTACTCTTGACAGGAGACGCAATGGACTCTGCAGCACAGATTAAGCCCCTGGTTGGGACTGACATGGTAATAATATTTGGCATTTAGAACAGCCTTTTTTTTTATTAAGATATTTAGGTACCTAACTTCCATTGATTTCATCAGGATTTGGATACCCAAACACCTTAAAAATCTGAGCCTAAACTGTTATTTAAAACTTTTTATCAGGATCTCAAAACACTTTACAAAGCAGGGCAAGAATAATTTTCTCCATTTATGCATGAGGAATTTATACCCTATACCCAGTGCTCTGTAGCATGTCCCTGCTCATTCACCTGTGCCAAATGAGGCAGTGAAGCTGCTCAGGGGAAGCTTTCCCTGCTGCTGCTTGTAAGATCTTGGTCTCTGGAGTGCTTGTGAGTGGTGGCAGGGAAAGCCTCCAGTGGCAGTCCCACAGCCTCATTTCCAGGTTTAGCGTGTATCAGTGGCAGGGGCAGCAAGTGGGATGTTCTTCAGAACAAAGTCCCTAGGAGCATAGGACCATGGTTTAGACACAGTAATGAAGTGACTTCCCAATGGTCCAACAGCAGACCAGTGGCAGAGCTGGGAATAGAGACCAGGATTCCTGACTTCCAGACTACCGTAGTTCCCTCTCCTTTGACCTCTGTCTTCTTATTT